TAACCTGATCTCTTCTACACCTCGTGATCACACAGGTTGGTGTGCTTCTTCCATGTGGACTTTGTTGCTTCCCTGCTAGATGATCGCTCGATTAACTTTAAGGCTTTAAGACCCCAGACGCTATATCTGCTAATAGTCGGGCGCCATCAGCTTCCTTCACCATATTTGCTTATGCACCCATTTTGTCTTCAGCAATTGTGTTGGGAAGGTGAGCATCACGGAATGCCAAGTTATTAGAAAAAAGCATTCTTGCATTGAGGGAGTACTTGAGTAGAGGCCCAATGTCCATCTGCTACCTTAATATTAAACCTAAAACTATATGTACACAGATCTATTTCCCCATTGTTATATATAAATATATTTACATATATACATGCCTGTATGTAGACCTCTATATATGCCCTTTACTTCCTAGTTATTTCCTGTATTTCCTATTACTTTCCTCCTGTCCCACTATCATTTTTGACCTTCATTTGGCCCTCTTGGCTAATTGCACTTGATCAAACCCCACCAGGGGTTCTACGCCCTCCTTGCCATCTGATTTTAGATCACTTGTTCTCTTGTCCCTAGGTTTGTTGACTACCCCCTCCCTTTCTCCCACCTACCCCTCTCCTCTGTTCCCCCAGAACCATCAGTCCTATTGTTTTCAGAGACAGGCATAAAAAAGAAAAAGAAAGGGCCTATAAATAGTTCCAGGTCTGTCTGCTGACCCTTATGTACGTTTTCTGATCGAGTCTGATGCAGTGCCAAGCCCCGCCCTCTGAGTCTGAAGTCTGTTTGGGGTTCCTCGGGGACTTCGTTGCTGTGCTCCTTCGTGTTCTGCCCTGGTGTGGGGGCATCTTCTGGCATTCTAACAGAAAGTGACTATAAAATGTCTTCTGACTGGTTTTCTAAAGTACAGTGCCAAGTCCTTGTCATTTAGATGCCTCACTGAACCCTCACCATGGGTAACCCTACTAGTGCTTGAAATACCAGTGGCATAACTCCCACCATAGTATGACAAACTGACCGACAGGTAGGTATTAAATACGCAGAGGGGCAAATGAAGTGCCTTGTCCAATAGTCCAAGTGAGCGGGGGGGGGGAGTGCTTCTTGCTTTGCATCTGTTTGTAGAAACTTTTCGATTGCTGTCCCGTCACATTCTGGAGCCCACCGCCAGCCTCCTTTTCTTATGCCTTCAGTGCGTCTGGGATCCTTTCTTCACACCATTAGGTTTTGGTTTTCCCCCCAGAAGCTAATAAAGGTTTATTGTTCCATAGTTCAATCACACCCAGCAGTATTGTAGAGTTGCTGCCACAGTCAGTTTGAGCACATTCTCTTCCTTCTTGGACTTGACATCAGCTCCCACCATTGGTTCTTGACTATGCTACCTCTGGACATTGTTGAGCACCGACCTCTTCAACGAAAATCAGCCCCATTTCCCCATCTATTTTCCCTTCATGCTTCCTGCATTCAAACCTTGCCCC